CCTACCTACCTTCATCCCACCTTTAGAGACCTCCGAACCATGTCTACAGACACCTTTAGAGACTGCACAGTCGCGACGGCTCCAGCTGTAAGGACCCTATGGAGCCCACCAAAACTTGAAACGCTGGACATGATAAAGTTTGAGTCAACACATCAGTGAACCCTAAACCCTAAGCCCTAAACCTCAAGCTGTTGCGTGATTGGGTGCGAGTCTCCGAAGTAACCAAGGCAAGTTTTGAATTCGGGGTTTATATAAGGTTGTTGAGGCTTAGGTGTGTTCTGTTGTTTATTTTTTGTTCGTGGGTGCTCTAATGCATGCCACCTCACACTAAACCTCTAGACCTCCTCCTCAATGCCCATTATCTACTCTCAAAGCTAAAACCTTACGCCCTAAGGATTACATTGTATCCCGGACCCAACTATAAGCTTAAAGTTTACCCCGAGCCCCATAAGCCTTAGATCCTGTAATCCTTATGGACTTAGAGTTGTCCAATCCCTGAACCAAACCCTAAACCCAAAGCCCTGAACCCTAAACCGTAAACCCTGAACCGTAAATCCCATGAGCCGACCATGTCTCGGAATCCTGCAGGTGATGCAGCAGAGTTGTCTTGTCGACCTTGCTGCAGGGGCCTTGGGGCGTGCAGTGTTTTGTAGGGTTTAGGGTTTAGGGTTTAGGGTGTAGAGGTTTGGGGTTTAGGGTTTAGGGGGTTCGGAATCAGCCAGGGGTTCCCCATGAAATAGCAACTGTAGTATAGCTTACCCCTTGAGCCCTATCCCGATGGCTGATGCGGCCCCTATATTACCCACGATTCTGGGTCCGGGACGTACCCGGAACCCAGCAAGTATAACAGAGTGCAGATGGGGTGTGTAGGTACAGCGTGGAGTTTGGGGTTTCAGGGTCTGACTGAGACCTAACCCACACACTTGGGCCCTAAACCAAATACCACAAACTAAACCCTAAAACCTAAACCCTAAACCCTAAACCCTAGACCCTATAACCTTAATACCCTAAAACCCCCTAAACCGAAAACATCTGACCGATACCTAAACCTCCAAACTTCGGTCCCAAACCAAAACCCCAAACCCAGACCCAAAGTTACTAAGGCCCCAAGGCCCTCAACCGAAGACCCCCAAACCCTGAACCCAAATCCTTGGGGTTCAGAGTTTCAGGGTTTAGGGTTTAGGGTTTAGAGTTTAGGGTTTAGGGTTTAGGGTTTTAGGGTTTAGGGTTTTAGGGTTTCGGGTTTAGGGTTTAGGTCAGGGGTTGCTTCTCAAGGGATTTAGGGTTTAGGGTTGAGGGGTTGCAATCTCCAGCAAGGAGTTGTTACTATACGAGCACATGGACCCTTAGGGGAAGGTTCTATTTCTGGTAATGGTAAGAGCACAGAGAAAAGCTTGAACAGTGCACCATCGTATCTTCAGAAGCCGCATTTGCCGACCATTTTGTGTCCGAGACAGGACTTCCCAAGCGTATGTCTCGGTCACAGGTGCTTCGAACCTCCTTGTCGCAGCCATCGGATGCCCAAACTCCTAAACCCTAAACGCCCAAGACCCTCGTAGATTCTGACGCCGCGACCCCTCCACCCCCACCCCCCCCGCCCCCCCAAAGCACCCTCTACTGCATCATGAAGATGCACTATGTGGCACTTTTATCCTAAACCCTAAACCCTACACCCTAACCCCTAAACCCTAAACCCTAGCACTTTTAGAGGCCATAAGACCTTGCAGCAGGTCTCCAAAGCTCGAACGCTCTTCAAGTGCTTGGAGAGGACGGCGGGGAGGGGAGGAGGAGTTCTCAGGATCTGGGCCTTAGGGCAAGGTACCCTAAACCCTAAACCTCGAAGCCCTAAACCGCTAAAGCCCTAAACCCTAAACCCCTAAACCCCTAAACCCCTAAATCCCTCAATCCCTAAACCCTAAACCCTAAACCCCTCAACCCCTAAACCCCTCAACTAAGCCCCTAAACCGCTAAACCCCTAAACCCCCTACAGTGCTCGGGGGTGGAGGTTTGACCTTTGGGTCGGGCTTAGGGTTCGAGAGTTCATGACACTGGATTCTACCTCTTAGGTCTTCTGGTGGTACAATTTGGGGGTTTCCGAAAATTAGGGGTACCTTATTTTGGGGTCCTTATGTTAAGGATCCTATCATTTAGGGTACTATATTAGGGTCCCCTATTTTCAGAACCCCCATTTGAGAATTGGCTTTTTATGGGGTCTAGGGGTGTTTTGGGTTGATGGACATGGAAAGACCTAGACCATAGGCTTGTTGCCGGCAGGCCCTAAACACCCTACGAGGTAGAGATTAAAGTGAGGTTTTGGCGCTTCGGTGGAGCTTATAGGGCTTTGTATTGAACATTCTGCGAAATATCCCAAACCCTCTTCTAAGCTAACGCAGGCTCTTCATCTTCTATGAGGTTTAGGGTTCAGGGCTTAGCATTTAGGGCTGATGAGGTTTGGGGCTTTCGGTTTTTAGGGTGTAGGGCTCATAGGGTTTAGGGCTTAGCGTTTAGTTCTACCGAACCCTAAACCCCAAACCCCGAAACCTTGCACCATATACCCTAAACCCTAAACCCTAAACCCTAAACCCTAAACCCTAAACCCTAAACCCTAAAACTATAGCACCTGCCATGATAAGCGGAGGGGAGGGGTTTCGAGGCTGAGAGTCTGCAAGACGAGGCCTTCTTCTTTCTCCGTTACATCACAACACCCTCATATGGGAGTTTCCGAAAACACGGGATACCTTTTTGGGGGACTATATTAGGGTCCCCTATTTTCGGAACCCTTCATATACCTGAACTCTATCTAGGCCCTCAACCCTGATTAAATTAACCCCATTATAGAACCAAAGAGTAAGAGGGCTCGGGTGCTGACTGAGGGTTCAGGGTACCGTATAACCCAAATCGCTGAGCTTTGGACCCTCCCAGCTGTTCTTCCCCCTCAAATCCCTTGGCCTAAGCCCTAAACCAAACCCTAAACCCTATAAGCCCTAAACCCTACCCCCTAAAACCTAAACCAGACCCTAAGCCCTATAAACCCTAAACCCTAAACCCTAAACCCTAAACCAAACCCTAAACCCTATAAGCCCTAAACCCTGAGCTGCTAAGTACTAGCCCTGAAGCTGCAAACCCATAAACCCTGAAGCCGGTAAAGACTCTGAGCCTAAACCCCGACGAACTTCCCAAGAGCCAGTTTATGGCTCAGTGGTTGAGGGTTTTAGGATTGGGTTTAGTGTTTCAGGGTTCTGGATAGGGTTTAGGGCTTAGGGCTTTGGGTTTAGGGTTCAGGGTTTAGGGTTTTAGGGTTTAGGATTGAGTTTAGGGTTTAGCATTTTAGGGTTTATTGTTGCGTCATAAGTTAGTCATAGCTCCAGACCCGCAAACTCCTACACTCTTTCACTCAAACCTAAATGGGAGTTTCAGAAAATATGGGACCCTAATATAGTACCCTAAATAATAGGATCCCAATAAAAGGACCCCCAAATAAGGTACCCTAGTTTCTGAAACTCCCAAATCCTCAAACTCCTACACTCTTTACTTTAACTCAAACCCCACTTTGCAGGACACCAAAGCTTTTCCAGGCTTCTGCCGCCTTCGAGCTAAAGTCGGAAGGCCGCCCCCGCACTGTAGGGCTTAGGGTTTAGTTACCTATACTATTTGGGGGGGTTCCTTATTATAGTTATAGTATTGTATACCCCCCAAAGCCTTATTCTAATTATTAAGGCCCCTACATGACCCCAAAGACCATCCTTCTTAAGGGTGTCGGGACCTCAATCCATAGCGTCCACGTACTACAAAGAGTGTATACTTTGGCATGAAAAAGGGGTTGCTATATATATATATATATATATATGCAATAGGTACTTGTATATAGGTACGCCATGGCCAAAGTATACAGGGTTCCGGTAACATAATGCCATGTCCTTTGTCACGACGGCGGGCTACCGTTTATGGGGTTAAATGGTTTGAGCTTGAGCTTTGTTTCAAGGGGCTAAAGGAGGGACCCTTAAAGGGACCCTTGGGATTATGTAAGGGCTTTATGAGACTATATAAGAGGTATATAAGGGTTTTATAGGGTATTAGGATTAGGGGTCCCTTCTAGGGGTCCCTCCTATTATCCCTGAATTGTTCTCTCTGTTGCCCTGCCTGGGCGAAGTCGCCATGGCAACGCCCGGCTTGAGACCTCCTCCGTCTGGGGGGGGGGCCAGGTGGACCGTGCACTGATGCCTCGACTACTGCCACGACCTCCCGAGGTCGACATAGACACCGTGACGAAGGATTCTGTCTGGGGTGTTTATTTGACATGATCTTCGGCAAGCTGTCGTATGGCAGTACATATGCATGGACCGGACCCACTGGATTCCAGGGGACTCTACAAGGTACTCCGTCATATAGCAGAGCAGCTCTTGGATTGCGTTTTCTGGCGAGCTAGTTGGGGCTCTATGTTGGCAGGGGTGTTCACGGTTTTGGGTTTTTGTCAAGGCCCTGGGGCTTTAGGGTTTAGGGGTTTAGGGTTTAGGGTTTAGGGTTTACGTAAGGGGTTGAGGGTTCAGGATCGGGGGTTGGATTTCCAATCTGGGCACTTCTGCCTAGATAAATAGTGCCAGGCTCTATCCCGAAGCTGGTAAGCCTGCCATCCAATGCTCGACTAGCTGTCATTTAGCGTCCATTCTTTTCAGGCAGGATTGTTGAGTCCAGCAGAAGCGCTGAGGGTTGAGACTTCGGCGTTCCTGTTAGTCCTTGCATGCATGTGCCCTTCTCAACGACATCCAATCGGATAAACTTATAGAGCAGCGCGAACACGAGCATTTCCATGCCGCCCAAGAAAAGCACCTAGACCGACGGCATACGCAATAAGTGAATCCACCCGATCCAGCGCTGTTTTGCAGGGGCACAGAGACATGACAGTCAAAGCTTTAGGGCTTAGTGTTTCGGGTTGATCTTCGCAGCGACACGTGAGGTGCCAGGGGTGGCGGCTCCGACAAGGCCGCCGTCTCAGAATGCATGGACTTTTTTCAGGGCCGTGAAGTTGAATCTGAGTGTCTTCGTATTTGCATGGGGGGCATGTGTTGCTATGACCAGGACCTGGGACTTCTTGGGATGTTGGTCAGATAGCCTGCGAATGAGCATGCAAGGCCTGATATACTTTATGTGCATAGGGGTTCACGGTTCCGCATTAGTAAACCCTCAATGCCATAAAACACGAAACATCACGAAGCCACAAAGCCTGAAACCTTCCTAGTTGCCCGGCCACCATACAGCAAATACATATGCAGGCACGGGCTGCATAGGTAGCGAGTCGGCTGAAGCCCAGAGTTTTTTTGGGTATGCGGTTTACGGGTCTATCTATGGGTATTGTAAGGGCTTGGGTTTAAGTTGGAGCACGAGGGGTATAGGGTTTGGTTTAGTAGGATTTTTGGGTTTAAGGATTATAGGGTATGGGTGATCTACCGATTATGGCTTGCTCCTACAGCTTTTGCGATTTTGCGGGCTTAGTAAGAGTTTAGGGTCTGGGGTATGAGGGGTTTGGGGACTAGAGGGATCGGGTGACATCGGGTTTACGGCAATAGGGTTTAGCAATTGGGAGTGGTGTCTGGGGATTTAAGGAGCGCTTGAGTTGATCGGTGCAGTGCGGGGCTCCGTGCATACTGTAATCATGGCTTACCTGTGGTGTTGCGTGTCCCTAAACCCTAAACCCTA